GTACGGGTGCGTAACAAGTACAGACATGACCGGAAGGCTTGGTTAGGTCAACTGATCCCGATCTTTGCCTTTAAAGGCAGGTGGTAAGATTAATTGGAGATCGAAGAAGGGGAATACATACAGGGAAGCAGTCTCCTAGGTAGCGGGACGAGGATGTGTTATTGCGAGTGCGCAGGTAGCGTCCTAACAGGACCTTACACATGGCGGCGAATCCAAACTGCTTTAGCAGAGAGGAAGAGCAGACGGCTCATACCGATAACATAAAAAATAGAAGAGTGCTTCAGGATGATATTTTTTTCAATCCTATTGATAAACTTTATCAAGCTTGTCCACGCGCAGGGGCTTTACACTAGTCTTTCTGATCTACAAGCATGGCTTATCTCACTATAACTTCTGAGACGAAATTGAGACTAAAGCGCTGCTGAGATGAGAGGTGTGTTCTTGCATAGGTAGCCATATAAAGAACAACCTTATTTTTAACAAAAACAGTAGTGAGTGCTCCCTGATGACACACACGAAGGCGCTTTTTCCTCACCACACATGCCTAGCTATGACTACCCGATTCAAGAGGACGAAAATTTTGGTTGCGTTCGGACGGGTTTCGATCCATAATCAGCCGCGTGCCGCAAGGGTTTTTGCCCCCACTGAGTTCATTTTCACGTCAACATTTCTAGATTTCTCATAATTAGCTTAATATCCATAACCCTTTCAACTTATGAGATATTCTGTAACGAAAGGGCACATAACAAAAAACCAACGCCGAGTAGAACTCACGAGCATCGACCTGCTTACATGAGAGACCAGTAAATTTCTGCATTGCAGATCTTTTCCGTCCTTGCCGCAACTACACGTCCGGAAGATGCTTGGATGTACCGTACACTGTGGTTTGTTGTCAACGACGTTTTGTGCGCCAGCAACGCTCCTGTACTGCTGGCATTGAACAAACCGATACGAAACGTCTACATGAAAAGGATAGGACTGCAACACAGAGAAACTCATACAAAGGGTTCCCTCATCAATCATATGTGAGCCCTATCGATATCGAAACATATCTTTTCAGAGGGTTGGCACAGCAAAGTACTGTTGTAAGGCCACTGTAATAGTTTTGCACTTTTTAAACCTATGGATCAACAAGGAGAGCTACATTTTTTCCTTTTTTTCACAAGCGATTCGCTGAAAACTCTTCAAAAGACAATCGTTTCGTCGACCTCTTTGAGACAATCGCTACTCAAAATCGTTAAAAAATGTAACTCTCCTAGTTAGAATGAATCTCTACACCGTGGCAAGAGATTCTAAAATATCAAGATATTTGGTGCTGAATCGAATGAAATCATGGGAATTTTGAGCTTAATTCACTGGTATTCCTTTTTTACGATTGAGGTAGTCATTTCACTGATCTTCTTTTTTTGATTGAGATGGAGCTCTCGTCATACTGATTTGTCATGACCCCTCAGAAAAAATCAATTTTAAAGAAAAACGGGTAAGTCGGAGAGGGTCTCTCCTTAATCAACTAAACCAATGTTCAGCTAGAAAAAATCAGCTTTGATTCCAAACTCTCCAAGCATTAATCTACAGCAATCTCACTTAAGCCTGGGATTTCTCTGCACCAGTACGGACATCTCTTTTCCGTCATTTGTTCTCTCTGAACCCATTTTATGCAAACTATCATATGTTTTTAGTAGAGATTGTTTTCTTCCCTAAACGATGTACTTCGGTTTTCTGCATTTGTTCTTAACGTGTTTAAATTTCAGGCTTGCAAAATGGGAGGTCCAGGCGGCGAAAGTTAGCCTAAGCGCCAACTAACTTAACGCAATGTTCGATGAGACGACGTTAAATCGATGAGCAATGTACATTGTATTCAGTCACCTCTACTGAACATTCCGCTCTCAAGCTGTCAAAAATTCGTGTCGTTTTTCTTTCTCGAATTAGCGCTTTTCTTGGTTGAGCTTTGAGCCGTACAGCGTTTTTAAAGCAACAGTTCAGGAACGGTTTCGCGGGAAAAAACCACCAATAATGAAGTTGTAGATGAAAACCAGACGATTAATGTATGAAAAACTGGAAAAAAACGTCGGGGAGGGTCTTAGACAGGTACTCTCCCTCTGCCGCTCAGCAATGGATAAAGACGCACGTTGGACGAGTTGTCTGAACGTGCCCGCTGTAAACGCGCTCCATTTTTCAATCAATTTTCCCTGTGGTCCCAAAACGAGCACGATTGCCGACGCGTCCAATGACGGCCGGCAAGGGGGCGGGATTGGGGAAATCCCCAAGAACACCCATGTTTGAGGGACTTTCCACCCTGTTTTTGAGTTTCTGAGGTAAGTTCGTTTATTATTTCCACTGCATATGTTCTTCACTAGGGCTCGTGTATCCCTCAGTAGTAGTGGCATTTGAAATTTTCGGACCCTCCCTGAACTGTTGCTTAAAGCAACAGTCCCAGCAGGGTGGGCGTGGTCGGAAACGACTGCAATCCCCTCGGCCGATTCCGACCACGCCCACTTCAGCTCCCTCCCTAGCGGCTTTCCAAGGTGAGTTTTTGTTCAGTCACACTTCTTACGTTCTTGACTAGGGGCTGAACAGCTCCGAAGTGGGAATCGGCCGAGGGGATTGCAGCCGTTTCCGACCACGCCCACCCTGCTGGGACTGTTGCTTTAAGGGAAAATCCTAAGACTCAACATATTCTATCATGTCATGTATCGCATCTTGATTCACTTGCTGTGTCTGTCGGTTCTATTTACGCTTATGAACTGGGCTTCAAACTTTCATGGCCTACATCTATGAACTGTCCATAGACAACGAGACATGGCGTACAGGGTAAAAAAAAATAGACCCCGAAGAGATGAAAAAATTAATCAGAGTGACCTTGGAACTTACAAGGCGAGGTTTTCAGGCAAGCCATGCTTTTTGGAATATGGTTCTTGACTATTGAGGGGGCATGATATGGACCGCACGAAACCGTGTTTCTTTTGTGAACGCGTCTTAGTTTAGTTATCCAAATGAGTGATGGAATGATTTACCCGTCGATTTGTTCGGACGGGGCGCGGGGGGGGGGAGGCTGGCAGGCGTGAGCGTCTGCGCTGTCCTCCTTCCCCTTTTTTCCGTCTCCCCTCTTGCCCACTCTTGTCTCTCCTTTATGCTCGCCTTTCCTGCGGCTTCGCGTAGCGCGTGGGGGCGCGGATGGTTCGTCCCCCGCGGCGACTAAATTTTGCAATCAAGGTTGGCGGCCACTTGTTGGCTTCAAAATGGTCCTGACGATGAATTTGACATCTGATTTTGATATTTAGCGCGATTTGGCACCAAACCGTAGGCGCCAACCCAAATGCAAAATTTAGTCGCCACGGGGATCGAACCATTAACAGTACCTTATGCTTCTTTTTTGGTACTGCTAAAACCGTTCAGCGAAAATGAAACATGGTTTTGTGTTCCCTACATGCATCCCTACAATATGCAAGAAACCGTTTTGAAAAAGCGTGGCTTGCCCTGAAAGACCTCCCTTGTTAGTCACAAATTATTTAAGCGTTCATCATTCCAACGTCTCCTACATTAAACTTGAGTTATACGAGGCGTTTTGCGGTGGTGGGGGGGGGGGGGGGGGGGGGGGGGGGGGGGGGGGGGGGGGGGGGGGGGGGGGGGGGGGGGGGGGGGGGGGGGGGGGGGGGGGGGGGGGGGGGGGGGGGGGGGGGGGGGGAATCCCACTCGTTTTATCAAACAAATTCGAGTTAACTGCTGGTTTGGCTAATTTTTGTCGATAAAGCCTCCCATTTCGCGAGCCAGAAATTCACTGTCAACGTATGTGAAAAAAAAAGTTTCCTGAAGAAGACAACCTCTTCGAAACGGTGCGGAATTATATAACGACAAAGACTTTCCAAGAAAATTTCAACTTAAAAAAGCGACATTATAAACTCGGACAACTTAATATAATAGATAGAAGTACTATGACTGCTAGGTACAATTCAGATTGATTATTAGGGTTGATAAAGCAACTTCCAGGATATATTTCATAAGGATGTCATGATGTTAGCAGTAGCGATGCTAGTGATATACTTGAGAGGTACATTGGGTGGACAACAATTCCATTTCTCACCTAGTAACACAATTCACCTGGATTTGACATCTGAAACGACAAACGACCCCCTTCATTATTGTGGCGAGTATTAGAGGCGTGAACGTAGTGCACAACCCAATAGCAACATTAAGCAGCGACGATAGGAAAGACGCAACAATGGGTGATATCGATTGACCGAGTATTCAGCTTTGAGGAAGTCTGTTTTTTTTTTGAAGGGCCCAGATTTTTCTATTAATCGTCCTCACTAAACAGTAAGAATAGAGTAGCGGAAAACCAACTTAGAAAATCGCTAATCAATCCATTTAAACCAAAGCTTATTTCATGTCTGAAACGTGCCTACCCTTACCCACTGCTTGATGTATGGAATATTTGGAACCGTATTAAACTCAGTGATTTTCACAAAATACGAAATCAAAATTATAGAAAACCTCATTCTGTTTCTATTGCATGTAGATACGCTAGCATAGACGAGTACCATAGTATTATAATAAGTATGAACCTAGATTACCCAATTTTGTTAGAATGAATAAATTGTTCGTGATGGTGTAAAAATAGAGCAGTGTCAAGTGAAAAAAAAAACTTGACTGCTGCATTCAATCTGATAGCCTCTTATAGCGAACTATTGAGGTTTATTGCAGCACCGCCGATCC